AATAATTTTTAATTAAGTCTTCATTTAAAATAAATCATGTGAGTTGTACTGGGTCAAAGCAGCAATGTATTTAAAATAGTTATTTGGCTGTCTCCAAATTAGGATCTAAGGAATTTTATCTGTCACCACAAATCATGATGGAAATAATTTAAACTTTTATTTTTAGTTACAAAACAAACTATAAAAAACTGCAACATGTTTATACATTGTAGAGTAAGCATGAAGGTTTACGGAAGTTTTCTTTTAAACTTGACGTTTTACATTGTTTTATAGGATAGAACAATGTCAAATTACAGCACCATCTAATCTGTCTTACTTTTCACATGCATACATTTTTGAATAACTGAGCTTTTTGTGACGGAAATTGCCTTTCAAACAAAGCAGGAAATTAATGTTGAAAGTAATATCAATGGCACAAGCAGTCCCGATACTCCCATATTCCTGCAGCACATCCCACATCACATGCCAAGGGACACGGTCATATGTCTTCTCCAAATCCACAAAACACACGTACACTGAATTAGCATACTCCTGCGCACCCTCACGCAGATGCACCGGGGAGACAAGTATGTCGACTGTTCCACAGCCACATTGTTACTCCTGGATCTGAGGCTCAACTACTGGGCAGAGTCTCCTTTCCAGTACCCTGGCATAGGCTTTCCCAGGGAGGTTGAGAAGTGTGACCCCCCCTATAGTTGGAACACACCCTCTGGTCCACCTTCTTAAATATAGGGACCACCACCCCAATTTGCCAGTCCAAGGGTACTTTACCCGCCTTCCATGCAACATTGAAGAGGCGCGTTAGCCACACTACCCCAACAGTGTCCAGTGCTTTCAACATCAAATCAAATCAAACAAAATAAAATCAAATCAAAGTTTATTTATCAAACGCACAACAATACAGCGTGCGGCAGAAGTTGCTGGCAATTAAATGTCTTTTCCGCGAGCTCACAAAAAATCACAAGAATCACAACAACACAAAAATACAAACATCACTAAATTGAAGTTATGAAAATAAGGTTACATAATAATAGATGTAATAGAAATTGAATAAAACTCAATATGAGTAGAGCTGCTATGTGTCCATGGTGTATGCAACAAATACAAGTAGTGCACTTATACTGAATACAGTGAAAACTGTGTGTCCATGTAGCCATTACAGGTGATTTGCTAAAGGAGCTACAGGTTGGCTATTTAGCAGTCTTATGAAGGTAGAAGCTGTTCCGTAGTCTGTTGGACTTGGACCAAATGCTTCAATACCGTTTACCGGACGGTAGGAGGGAAAACAGTTTGTGACTGGGATAACTGGGGTCCTTGAGAATGGACCTGGCCTTCCCAAGACATCTAGCTGAGTAGATATCCTAGATGTTTGGTAGCTCACAGCCAGTAATGAGCTGCGCTGACTTCACCACCCTCTGCAGTACTTTCTGATCCCGGGTGGAGCAGTTCCCATACCAGCCAGTGATGCAACCAGACAGGATGCTCTCAATAGTGCACCTGTAGAAGTTGGCCAGGAAATGTGATGGCATGCCAAACTTCTTTAGCCTACAGAGAAAAAATAGGGGCTGCCGTGCTGTTTTGACCACAGTGTTGGTGTGGTAGTCCAGGTTAAGTCCTCTGAGATGTTAACCTAGGAACTTAAAACTGCTGACCCTCTCCACTGCAGTAATGTAGATAGGTGTGTGATCTCCTCCCTGGTGTTTTCTATAGTCCACAATAATCTCCTTAGTCTTACTGATGTTCAGAGAGAGGTTGTTCTCCTGGCACCATGTTGCCAGGGTTTCAACCTCCTCCCTGTGCGCAGACTCTTCACCATCTGTGATCAGGCCAATGACTGTTGTATCATCCGCAAATTTAATGATGGAGTTTGAGTTATGCCTGGCAACACAATCATGGGTAAATAAGGAGTAGAGGACAGGGCTAAGCACACAGCCTTGGTGGGCTCCAGTGTTTAGAGTCAGGGTAAAGATATGTTGGTGCCCACCCTCACCACCTGTGGACGTTCTGTCAAGAAGTCCAGGATCCAGTTACAGAGGGAGGTGTTCAGTCCCAGGTCCTGGACCTTGATGACAAGCTTTGAGGGCACAATGGTATTGAATGCTGAGCTGTAATCAATAAACAGAATTCTCAAATATGTTCCTTTCTTATCCAGGTGTGAGATGGCAGTATGGAGGGCAGTGGCAATAGCATCTTCTGTTGACCTGTTCTGGCGATACGCAAATTGCAGTGGGTCTAGGGTGTCAGGCAGTGAGGAGGTGATGTATGCTTTGACCAACTGCTCAAAGCACTTCATGATAACTGATGTGAGTGCAACAGGGTGGTAGTCATTCAGGCAGCTGACTCTTGGTTTCTTAAGAACAGGGACAATGGTGGTTTTCTTAAATCAGAAAGGAACTATAGACTGAGCTTGAGAGAGATTGAGAGATCTCTGGTCAGATCTCATCCACCCTCGCAGCTTTACCACTACAGAGACCTTTGACCAACATAGTGACTTCAGCAACAGTGATGGGCTCCCCCACACCAGGTATGTCTGTCACTGCCTCCTGATAGGAGGGCATGTCCACCGGGTTGAGGAGTTTCTCAAAGTGTTCCTTCCACTGCTCAACAACTTCCCCAGAAGAGGTCAGTACTTCCCGTCCATGTTTAAAAGCCTGGGCTAGGTCACGCCATCCCCTCCTGAGGCGCAGAACAGTTTGCCAGAACAGCCTCAAGGCCATCTGATAGTCTTTCGGACTTTATTTGGCCCCCCATAGATCGTCACCTTGTTGTGGTGGTGGAGCTAATGTACCTCAGGGATGCGCAGAGCTATATCGTCTGGAGCCTTGTGCTCCTGGTAGGGTCTCCCTTGGCAAACAGGTCCAAGTTGAGAGGTCAGACAAAGAACGGTCCAAAAAAGTCCCTTATGACAGTACAAACTTAGGTCGAATGAACCCTTCCCAGTCCAGGCTTACCTTTGCCCCTGGAGCCAGCCTGGGGGAGGTGTTTGCCGTTGAGCACTGGTGGCCAGGCAGCCCACATAACCCCGCCATGCTCAGCCCAAAAGGGCAATTTGGGGCTGTCTTGTGGCCCCACCACTTGCAAAACAAAGGGTGGGTCAGGTGCGATGCCAGTCTAGTGACAGGCATAAGTGGAAAGGACCTAGACAGACTAGACCCTGGCAATGGAGAGTGACGTTGGGAACGTGGAATGTTGCCTCTCAGGTGGGGAAGGAACATGGTGCAAGAAGTGGAAAAGTACTGACTGGATATAGTAGGTCTCACCTCTACACATAGTAGGAGCTCTGGAACCAAACTTCTCAATCGGGGGTGGTTGCATTCCTATTCTGGAGTTCCTCTGAGAGATAGGCCCCAGGCGGGCTTGGGGATACTCACAAGCCCCTGGCTGGGGGCTGTGTAGTTGGAGTTTTCTCCAGTTGACTAGAGGGTTGCCTCAATGCGGCTGCATATTGCAAGAAAAACTCTATGACTGTTGTTTGTGCATATACACCAAATAACTATTCAGAGTATTCAGCCTGCTTGAAAGGCGCTGAAAGAGTACTGCCTACTGACTCTGTAGTCTTACTGGGGGACTTCAATGCTCACGTCGGGAATGATGAAGATACCTGGAGGGGAGTGATTGGGAGGAACGGCTTGATGGATCTGAACGCGAGTGGTGAGATGTTACTGGACTTTCGTGCTAGTCATGGATTGTCCAGTACAAACACAATGTTCGAAAACAAGTAGGCTCATAAGTGTACCTGGAACCAGAGCACCTTGGGACAAAGGTCAATGATGGAGGCCATATGTTTTAGACACTCAGGTGAAGAGAGGGGCAGGGCTGTCAACTGATCACTCCTTGGTGGCGAGTTGGATTTGGCACATGGGGCGCAGGCCGGACAGACCTGGGAAACTCAAACGAGCAGTTCCGTCCATGATGAGTTCAACTCCTACCTCTGAGAGAATTTCTCCCATGGTCAGAGTGAGGCCGGGGACATTGAGTCTGAATGGACTATGTTCAAGACTTCGGTTTTTGAAGCAGCTGCCAAGAGCTGTTGTCTGCAGGCAGTTGGGGCCTCTTACAGCGGCAACCCTAGGACCCGCTGGTGGACACCAGAAGTGAGGGAAGCTGTCAAGCTGAAGAAGGTGGCCTTCCGGGAATTGCTTTTGGGAGGTTCTCCTGACTCAGCCGAGAGGTACAGGCAAGATAAAAGGACTGCTGCGAAAGGCTTGGACATGGGAGGAGTTTGAAGAGGCCATGGAGAAAGAATGATGACCATAATAATCAATTGTTCCAGGAGTCAAAGATTGGGTCTCAGTGTGGCCCAGGTAAGCTGAACAGATAAGAATCTGTATTTCTATACATTAGGAAATATTAAGAAATAACGACTGTAGTTAATTACAGTCCCAAGCTGAGGAGCCTAGATTGTTTTTCCTCTGATCCATTAGTTATTAGTAACCATACAAGAAAGACTCATTTTTCACTTATATTCTACCCCAATTTTACAGACAGATAATGCCAGATGCGAGAAATATATAACAAAATAAATCATGTAATATTCAAGAAAGCCAAGCAAACCAACACAGTACTAAGAAAAGTGGTGGTGAAAACTGCCATTTTTCTTCACAATGCTTATAAATAGTGGCAGCAATAGTCTCAGAACTGTCAATTGAATCTATTTTTCACAACATCATTTTTAACTCAACTGAGTGAAGTAGTTAAGAGTGCTTCGCTAAGTGTCAAAGGCTTACATCACAATCAAGCTCCTGGGTGTAAATCAGGAAACAGAGGAGCAACAGCATTTCTTTACACAACTGGTTTTAGGCATATGGAACACATGACCTAGCAATGATGTTAGAGCCAAAATTCTGTCTTCTTTCAAGAAATGGTTATATAAAATAACTTGGCTACTAACTAGGAAACTAGTTAAATATGCTGAATACCCTCCTCTAGTTTGTAACCGTTTTCATATTATTATTTAGAATGTCAATCATCTATTTGATAAGAAAAAACATGATGCCAAGTCCATAGGAAAAACATTTTATTGAAAAACAATTTCAGTTTGTAACAGACTTGTGGAATGTGTTCTTTTTTGGCCTGGCCATTTGTAACTGCAAAGTGGAACTAAAAGCTAGAAACTATGACAGACTAAGTAAAAAAGGAAAAAGGGTGTAACTCAAGCATAATACTGTGTTACTTACAAACTGGACAAAAAAGTTAAATAAATATTTATGGTAAACACCTATGGCACAATTATGCAGCAGTCAGTTTGGCAACTTTTTTTTTCTTTTTTAAACAATTTTTTAAAACAGTGCAAAGGGGAACAGAATGACACTGCTTTACAGCAAGCTATAGCTAAAATACATTGCAAAAAATTCAGATTTTATACAAAACATCTCACTTAAGAGTTTATAAAAAACATTTTAATATTTACACAAGCTGGTTACCAAAAATTGTTTTGCTGTGTTTAGTTTTCTTCCCTAAAAAGGTGAATAAGGCTATTTTAACAACCCAGTTTCCACATACAATACACATGTTAACATATTTACATTATTTTTAACTAAATTTAAAATTTAAAAGTCAGGTGACTAGGGATGACCATACAAGCAAGGCATTTATAGTAACAACCTGAAGTTTTAATTTTGTTCCAGGTTTTAAATACGTTAATAGGATTGTCATATTCTGCACCAGTCTTCCATCAACCCAAAAGCAATTCACTCCCAGGTTGCTTTCCATTTACATTTGTTATGGTTTTTCACAGTAACCAAGTCAAAGGAACAAAAAACTGATATTTTGGAAAATATTAACTAAGAGTCACACAACCTTATTTTTTAAGTAAATAATTATCCGTGATTTAAGAATACTTTCTGTGGATGAAAAGAAAAAAATTGCATATTTGCAGCCATGGCAGCCTTTAACAGAGCCACAAATTGTACATGCTAGGGTATTCTTCTTGGGAGAGTTATATATTGATATATGATATTAATTAATAATAAAGGAAAAGTTCAAAAACCTAGATCAATTGCAACAGTGGAATCAATGCTGCTCCCTCTTTCCCACTTGACATACTTGCATATTTCCACAGTAAAAGTAAAGGTTTTAAAATTCAAAGGATGAATTTTGAAATTATATATCAAACAAGAAAATAAACGTGAGGGAAATATTAATGCATTAATTAATTCATTCAACATTTCTACCTTGATTTCAGCTATTTTGAGATCATATGTACTCTGTGAAGGACTGTTCTCAGACTTCCTCCAATCACCAAAGAAAGGCAGCTCAGACTTGAAGAATAACAAAATAGGGTTTTTGAAAAAGATAACCTAGCTTGCATAATGTGCATTTACCAGTATATATTATTTATTTATTATACTCAGTAAATTCTGTGCTCTATACGTAATTCATAAATAAATCTTTTATCTCCCCTTAAATGTACATTTTTTTATCAGAAAAGAAAAAATCTTGCAAGTTATTCCTGTGCTTATGTTGAACAGAGCACCAACAAACTGCTGTGAATCCTACAGCACCAGCACGGCAGGATGCTCACAGAACAGTCACTGAAGTACCTAAGTCTACTTAGCAAAAGTAGACTAGGATTCTTTAAATCATCAGTAAGGCAGTTTTCTTATTGCCTGTACCTACAGTTACATTTGCCATGGCAACACAAAGCCATTTTTTTCCACCATTCAGTGTTGCCTCTGGCTGTCCTTCCATTATGTTTCAGCATTTCTCCCTAGGAGATGCTTGAGAAATCCTGCATCTTTCAATCACAAAGTGTGGCATCCTCCACCTTTTGCCATAGTTGTAGCGGCCCATGTTGCTGCTGGTTGCACTGCATGGTACTGCAACTTCTACTTCTCTCATTTAAGTTTGCAACAGGCTACCACTTCAGAAGGCAGGAATCCTTTTTTGTGGTGAAATTCACAAATGACCTCCTAGTGTAGACTCCATTAATACACTATCGTCAAACACCATCTTCCTCATAACCCTCTGCATGATCTGATACTCTCCATTGCAGTGTGCCCATAGTGTGGAATGATCAACAATATGCAAATATGTGTTTTGTTCACTATTCAATTTTTGTGTGAAGAATACTGAAAAACACAAAACAAACCTCTAGATAACGTCACAGAAGTAAGAATAATGAAAGGAGGTAGTGGGTAAAGAGAAGATGAGGTTCAAACAAATTAAGCAAGACTGAAGAAATTAGTATGAAGTCCAGAGGTAAAGCATAAGGAGCTTGCAGAGCCTCATGTTGCTGTTTATGAATCACTGTTTTAAGTTATATTCCATCAAATGTCCCATGTAGAGAAGTGAATAACAATATTAATCAGAATGTGCTCATTTCTGTCATTATACCTTCCTTGAGCTTACTGAAGAAATCACAGAGATCCACTCATCCTCCCTTCATTTCTGAGGCTGTCTCATTGTTTAAAGTCAGTTATTAGTGCACAACAAGAGCTCAAATAGCTCATCTGGAAAGCTGCTGACCAGGAGTTCTTCAAAGTAATAATCCTCTAAAGAAAAAATACAATGACAACATCACCATGTTTCACCATGTGTCTCAAACCTTGTAATATATGTTTGCCGGACTCTGAGGAGGCATCTCTTGAACTATATACACTGGATGTCCATAGTCTCCGCTCACCTTCTCATAATGGGGACAAAACACACTGTCTGCAGTTCGTAGTGGGATGATGATGTCACTTGGCTCAGAGCCATTGTTGTTTCCCCCTCGCTTAGGTGTTGCCAGTGTACTGAGGGAAAGGGTGGCTGTGTGCTGCGGAGAGTGCTTCCGATGTCTCCGCCTGTACTTCAGCAGGAGGACCACTAATGTGATAATGATGACAATGAAAATGACACAGCCTGAGGTAATTCCTGCAAAAAGTGCTACCTCTGAGCCAATGATACTTGATGATTGTCCTTCCTTATCATTGTTGGGCCCTGTCCTGGGTCCTAGAAAAAACAAAGTAAAGAGCACATGACAAGCAATCATTCTCAGTCTCTCCAAGCCAGCAGAAATAAAATATTACTGTCACCTTGAATTTTAAGTTCAAGGATGTTGAACTTTGCATTCCCAAATTGAAGTAACTGGTGTGTCAATCACCAGGAGTCTGTTCAACTGTTAATTTAGTAACTAAAATAAGGGGGTCCTTTATAGTCCTCACTTGTTTACAAAAAGTACCACTACTTTTCCATCACAGTCATCCACTAAACTGGGAGAATCAGAGATGGCAGTTGGCAACTTGAAGAACTTTTATCTAAGGACAATTTGACTCTGTCCATTGTATAAAAACAGCTAGTACTGTTTTTTTAAATCTATGTGACTTAAGATGTCACAGAGGAGCCATTCAAGAATATTTAAGAAATATATTTTGCACATATTCCAGCAATAGTTTTTATTGCAGGATGACTGCTGGATTTCTGCATCTGGGTAACCTATTTTCATCTTCACAAAATGTTCTGCAAGTCCAGGAAGATCTGTAAAATAAAATTAAGGCTTTTTTTTTCTCTTAGACTGTTGTTGCACAGGAGTTGAACGAACCATAGTGTTAAGACTTGAAGCTCTAAAAAGGGTGTATTAGCATCTGCCTATTTGTTAGGTTACACAATTATTGTAAGAATATTTCACAAGATACTTCAAAAGACTAATTTAATGTGTTCTCACTTAAAGATGTCTGGGAACACAATGCCAAAATAGATTTACAGGCATGCTAGCACAAACTGTGAATGTCAGAGGAATTAAATATTTCAGACAAAAAACAGTCAAGGAATCTTTCTCACTTTTAGCATGCTGAGAGATTTATTTTTATGTTTAAATAAAGCTGTGCTTGAATGAAGTTACTAGTGAAAATTCACTTCTCTGTGTTATTAAAATTTGTAAGCTGCATCAACCAAGTCTCCGATAATTAAGGAGAAGTTTTCCTCAAAATCCACCTTAGAAAGGAAATTAAATCCTATTTGCAGTCTTCTGCTTTGCGCTCTGGCCTTGAAATCAGAAGTGCTTACTTCAGATGTTTTCTGTTCAGGTATTGCACAACCTAATATTTTTTATCAAACAAAACATATTTCATATACCACAGTCACCAGTTGTCAGTTTCAAAGTGTGAACTTCCTTGCTTTTATATGGTCTATGAAATAAGTTGATTTTTCCAAAATCATTTGCTTTCACCTTTTGGCACATGAACAATCTTGGTTGAGAAATTTAGATATCCCTTATGTGGAAGGGTTTTATGATTAAAGTGTCAGGGAGCATGTAAAAGCCAACCCAAAATAAATTATCTAGAGTGGGTATTGCCAAATAACTTTAATGAAAGTGATTCAAAGTAGGTAGATGTATATACACATCTCACACTCATATATACATCATCATCCATAAAGCATTTTAATAATGAATTACATATTTATGCTTAATAACACAAAGACAAAATTAAATAATTAATAAAAGCTTAAACTCTGTACAACTACTCTGTACTAATCTGAATTCATTTTTTAAAATAAATTGGATCCTTAGACCCAGATGTTCACTTATATGTAGATTGTTACAGTATGCAAGAAGTTGTGGAGCTGGTAGCTTCTGATAATTTCCAGAAATACTTTGGTAATACCATCAACACATTATTGTAACATACCATCATCTTGCATTAATCTTCCATTTCTAGCATTAAGCTCAAAGACCAACATTAAGTAATGGGTAACTTCTTAATTCATAGAAAAAATGCTCATACATATTCATACCTTGCTCATACCAGTGTTCCGTTAGTACTTTTGGGCACATGTTGGAGCAATTTAGCCTTTAATATAATAACTACATAAGGTAGTTGACTCTGCTCACTGAACATGCATGCACCAGTTAGTATTTGTATTTTAAGTTAATATACTGCTTGACTACCCTTTTTAATTTTCTTCAATCATAAGGTCAACAGATATGATAAAGTAGCTTGAAAAACAAAAGAAAATCCTTCTTAATCATTCTTAAAATACCTTATTTTAAAAATTGAGAACAGTGTTTCTTTTATTGTGAGGTGACGTAAGTTTCAAATGAGACACTACAGTGAAATAAGTTGGAGAGTGCTCAGTTTTGCAGACAGATTAGGCGGGGAGATGCATCAAAATACACTAAATGTCTCTTAACAAGGTATTTGCAGTTTGCACAAACTACAAACTGAAAATTTCTACATCTGAAGCTAAAGGCAACACCAGATACATATTATCAGTACATCATGAGACAGGAGTTATTTTAAAAATAGCATCACAGGACAGGTTGAAGACAGGAAACATACGGGTGGTACAGGATGGGACAGGCCTGAAACATCAATCCTTGTCACTAATGTTAATTTGAAAAACCCGCTCACCAAGGCATTTGCTTTTTGACAGTTTTCACAATGACATACAGGTGGTTCAGCACTGATTGGAGGAGAGGTACATTCTTTCACTAATAGCATTCCAAGCCAAGCCTTTCTTTTAATAAAATGCAACAATTATTTTTGCAACCTATTACACTGATGTTGCTAGTAATACTTCAGTATTCTGCTCATTCCAACAACAATAAACTTTCCAAATATTATTTCATATTTCTAGCAATGATAAGGAACACATTTTCAGTGTGCCAATGGACATTTTTTCAATCCAACTTAGCTTGCTGAAAATCAAAAAATGATTTAACTTTAAGAAAACTGTGCCTGATTAATTTTTTCACCAGGAATAAACTATTTTATGAAAAATAGCCATCTTTGTAGCCATCTTAAGGCAGCACTGGAATAATAATGATACTGATATACTGATAATAATAAAAAGATCATAATAATAAGAAAAATCATTACCATTACCAGGCTTGTCTTCAGCGTTGTTCGTTACTTCGTTTTCATGGTCTTTTTCACCGTCATGGTGTTTTGGTGGATTTCGAGTTGGGTAATCTTTTGGTGATATGGGTTCGTTAGGATCTAGAAAGAAAACAAACATTTCATATATGAGTTACTTAATAACTCACAGTTAGACAGTATAGGAAATAAATCTGATAATCTGAGCAAAATTTAGTACAATTTTGCAATTTTAGCCCAGAACTGACAGGCATGTCTCATATGCCTTCATAACGTAAATATGCTAATATGATGGCTATTTTGCATTAGTGTACAGGTCAGGCCATCTGCTACAGAAACAGGAAACCTTTCCGTATGACATGTCAATTTCATAAAACAAGCTGACATGCTGCAACATAAAGCTTGTGCTAGTCTTGCAACCAGGTTTCTTCTCAATTATATAAAAGCATTTCAAGATGGAGTAGTTTTATAATAATTATAGGTACTGTAATAAATGATAGCATATTAATAAGAACAAAAATAAAAACCAGCAACCCTCCAAAATCAAAGCAAAAAATTCAAAAGCTTGAACAAAATTCTTACCTTGCCCGACCTTCATTATAATCTTCATGGATTTTGTCTGACACACTCCTCCTTCTTGATTTTCTAGACCTTCCATTGTTCCATTGGATGTAGCTAGAAAAACAAAAGAAGAATGAGCTTCAAAACCTAATGGATAATGTAAAAAACTGGCATTCTTCATTAATGTTTGAAAAAAGTTTTAAACACGCAAACACCTTTGTAGCAAACAACTGTCTGAACAAAGCGCAGCATAATTAAGATTTCTACAAATACACCCGAAACGTTGTGTTTTCTTTATTCTTTTTTTCAGCATGGAATAAACCTATTACTTGTTCCTTTAACTTATAAAGTCCATTTGGTACATGTAATATGTAAAAAAAAAATGACCATTACATGGTAAACAAATGGTTATTAGATTGGATCCTGCAGTTAGACGGCTTCTTAGCCTGTACTATGATGCCTTGGAAAAATATGTTAATCTAATACGTACATTTATACACTGTTTATTTAAGACAATGTACATGATTCTGAAAAGCAGAATACATTTAAATCCAGGTGTATTTCCAAAGTATTGAATATGTAATAATAAAAATAATAAAGTAGCTGCATTCTATAAGTTATATAATTTCCACTTAACTGTACAGATTTAATTATAAGAATATCATTAGACCATTCTCTATTGTCATTAACACCAGCTCTGACAATCACCCTGTTTGTTCCCTTCATGTCTCAGTTTTTGCTGGGAGAGAGACTTACTTCCAGTTGCCCTTGAAAAAGAAAAAGTTCAGTAGAAGCAAAATACCTCCATACCAACAGACCGCAAGAGTGAAAAAACTAGCAATATTCTTGATCTCTGGAACACTGCAAACACCAGGAGAAGAGAAGATTGCAATTTCAAAAGCCGGTATTGGAAAAGGAGTGGAAATACTATCCTCTGGCATTAAGCATTCACCTCACATTGTACCAATCTCTTGATCCAACTGTAAGTGTATATATAACTTTGAAATTTTTAAAAAACTTCAATGCAAGAGTGACGAAAACAGCAACATCCATTTATCACATTTCCACACTGGACATAGATGTCCTGATAACTGTTCTAAATAAAAAGACCCCGTCCCACACCACCTCTACGTTAATTTTCAACCTCAAGATTTATGAGTGTTCTCATTAAAACACTGTACTTTGTCAAACACTACTGATTTACTGCAGTTAAGCAAAGAGTCCCTGTCCTTGGTTAGGCACAACATTCACCATTTTTACTTTAAAAAAACAGGAAAAATGTTCACAAATTGCAACTTGCAATTGCAAAGTTAGAGTACCAAGGTGAGCACTTTTTTCCCAAGTTTACAGTTAAGAGTTTTAATAATTATTATTGCAATTCCAAAAGCAACAGTTACAGAAAAAAGTCACCAGAAATTAATAACTTGGCAGCATTACCAAATTGTTCAGTAGCTTACAGGTAATTTCATGCTATGAAACACTTTTACAATTTATGACTTTTGAGTGAAACAAACAATAGCATTCACTAACAATGGCTTGATGGAAGACAGTTTGAAATTGCTTCTTAGTAAAATGCTACATAATCAATGGTATCATTAATATAGCAGAGACATTTCAATATAAGTGCAATAAAAAGTCTTAAGACTTAAAACACATTAATGAGAAAGTTTATTTTATTTTCAGCAGGCAACCCTAACAGATCCTAGTAAATACCTGTAGGATGTAGATGGTAAACTATCGAGGATAGAGTATGTACAGTGTAAAAACTGAAATGGAACAGTTCCTTCTTATATTTTGGGCAGATACATTTTTAACATGTCTTAATTTGATGGTTGCTATATAAAAAAATAAAAAAAAGCTGGGGTATGCGAAAAGACGAATTCCTAATGCAAGAAATTGTAGAGGGCTAATAAAGAAACATTATTAACATTATTATTATTACATTATTATATGCATCCCTGCATCCCTAGCGACTGTCGAACAGCATGCATTCACAGTGCTTATAGCCCATCAGGTCAGTAGCAGATCTAATCAGACAGAGAAAAGCGGAATTTGTCCCCGCTATTGGCCTTTATTCACTGGAAAAAGATAAGCAACTGAATCAAGGCTGCAGCTTCAGTCCTACTGAAGTCTTTTCCTTATCACTTTATTGGAAGAAAATATAAACCTGGTCCTCCAGGAGAATCTGCTCAAACCTCTTAAAATAGCAGTGTAATTTCTACCACAATTTCAAATCAAGAATGTCAATGCCCTTTTGTGAATTGCTAGGATAAAGTTTATTGATTGGAATGACCTACAACCATTTTGCATTTATATTCATTTTAAAACCTGGGAGGTCCAAATTAAGCTTGGATTTGCTTCAGTTCATTCATCTAGGATTCCATAGAATACTGCTATAATCTTGTGTTTTTATTTCTGCTGCACGTCAGTAAAGCTTCAAGAAAAAAAAATGTTAGCACTACGAGAAGCAGGACCTGTTTGAGCTTAACATCTTACTGCTCATTCTTAAATTCACTGCAGACTAAGCCCCAAAAAACACATTATACCAAACAATGACAAAGTCCATTTCCTCTTCATTAACCAAATTAGTTATACTGCCAGGAACAGATATTTGAGGTTCCCTTGGTACAGTCCTGTAAAAGGACTTTATAGTTTAAGTCACAGAAATTTAAAAATAATTAAATGACAAATGTAGTATTTCTTCTAAATTTACATCTTGCAATACATTTTTCAGTATTTTGAATTGTTCACAAATGAAACAGAAACAGAATACAGATGTAAAATAATATTTTGAGACTCATATGTCTAGAAATAAACTTTACTTTCACACACTTTAAGAAAGGATCTTCCAGTTTGTTCTGATTGTGGAGATTTACTTATGTAAGCAAAATGAAGCACAGGGGAAAGGAGCATAAAGTTAATTAAATTTCTGTCACTGGAATTGACAATTTCTCCTGAAAAATTAAGCACTAGTCAACACTTCCATGCAGCACATGGAACTTAGGTCAATAGAGATTACTCATAAAGGCACATACTGGGGTACAAGTATAATGTTTGGAAAATCATGGACATTGCATTACAAATAATACTCTTGATAGTCATAGTATATTTGATTAAAAATTCAGGACTTAAAATTCTATTTTGGTGGAAAGAATATCAGTAGATAAGTGTTTCTTAAATATATATTTATAATACTCCTTTAAACGTGTTTTAATCCTTCAGCTATTACAGGGCAAAACTCGGAATGATAGGAATTGCACCCTACCTGTCATTTTCAGTCAGGTTATTGCTTTTATTTACTTTGTTCTGAAATTCTGTAGTGAATGTTACCCAAATTAGTAATTCTAAAGATATTCTATTGTATTTTGCTACTTTCTTAGAAAAATAATTTTAAATCATATTTGTTATTGGCGATTACTAAAAATAGGAAAGTGGTCTTCTTACCATTTAAGAACGTTTTAAAGCAGGCAACAAACTCCACTATAACTGTATCCCATTAACGCTGATCTTTGTCAAGAGCTGTTGTAAAGGCAGTTAATGCTGCTGCCAACTGTCATGAATTAATGAGCAAAGTCTTTAAGGCTCCACAATTGTCTCTTTACAAAAATCAGCCATAAGACGTTGCCCACAGCAACGAGTGTGTGACAAGGACACCAGCTCCTTTCCATGATGGTTTCAACATGTCTGAGATTCAGCACATGACAAGTTTTTCACTGGGAGATTAAATACTGCAGCTAACTCTCCCCACCGTCTTCAAACCCACTGCATTTAAGGATAATAAAACCTTCAACAATCCACTATAACATATTTCTAACATCAACTAAGTGTCAAACATCTGCTTAATGCAATTCAGTACATAGGAAGGAAAAAAAACATTTTCACAAAGCAGTGAGGCATCAGGGGCAGCTACACAGAATTGCTTTATTAATTTCACATGGTTATGGTAAAATGTCAACTACTTTGTTTCTTACTACTAAACAGGATTTCTAGTTCTTTAAGACAAATACAAATGTTATCTACTTTAATGTAAGGTTTATAAATCAAAACTATAAAAAGCAGTAAAGTTTATCGATTAAAAAATGATTCCCTTATTTCCCTGGTAAGACAACTCAGAACAAATTCTTTTTAACAATTCTAACCTGGAAAGCAGTAAAGTACATTTGTTGAAACACTTTGAATGAAGGGGAAAACAGACGTTTTCCTTTGGGGATTTGAACCCACAACTAAAAGGTCTTGAGTCCTAAGTGTTATATTTTTACCCAAGTGTTACATACTATTTTGCCTACAACATTATAAACAATAAAATAATCTATTTTCATAATGAAAGCTACTAAAGCTATTAATAACCTGATAATTGCCCATAAATGAATATGAAGCATAAAAACATTACTGCTGGAGTTCATTCACGAGTTCTGACTTCACTACTGTCGGAATTAATCTGCTTCGAGAGTTCAGAATATAACACAGCAGAATGAGAAAATTTGTTTTATTATCTGCAATTTATGTGACCAAAATTCAAACACCACACCTTTAGGTATACATAACATTGTGGCCACTGAAGCTTATTTGGGTGTGCATGATATAAGAGAAGGGAGTCATTTGTGTAGCCAATGAGCAATTTTCCTGCCTGATTTAATAATACTGTACCTTCATTGCAACCCATTCACAAAACAAAAGAAACAGACTTGTTAATTTAGATCAGATCAATTTACCTTTCATGTACTATACAGTTGGACACTACACTGTCAAAATGAAAACTATGACATTTTCATTAAACCTTTTTCTAGCAAAACACCAGGCACCAAGCCCCAGTTACTTTCAGACATGAAAGCCTAATCTCCCACCACTTGGATAGCAATGAACAGTCATAAATATGGATCACTAAACAAGCAGGCAAGATAAATTTTTAGAATGTACAAACTGATACCAAGTGAAATTTGTAAGTAATGGGATACATCATGCAAGAGAGAAAGATCTTCTAACAATACAGTCCCAATACCAATTTACAACACAGCTAGTCTTGTTACATTATATTTTTCCTTGTAAGAATAAAAAGAAACAGATTTCCTTGTCCACAAATATAGTAGAAACTCTGTACTATTGAGGGTTGGGTGCCTTGAAGTCTCTGCAAATGGTGAATTTGCAAATTTGTATTTTTAATGAAGAAAATAGTGGAAACTTTAAAAATGCATTATTTTCCCACTGTAACTATTACTGCATACACAAACACATTAGATTACTGATTTTATAACTCCCCCTTTATGTATTTATGTTTTCATCCTTAGTAGAGTGTATTTTCTTTACTTCTTACATCTTATAATAATAATAATAATAATAATTGCTTACACTTACATAGCGCTTTTCTGGACACTCCACTCAAAGCGCTTTACAGGTAATGGGGACTCCCCTCCACCACCACCAATGTGCAGCATCCACCTGGATGATGCGACGGCAGCCATAGTGTGCCAGAACGCTCACCACACATCAGCTATCAGTGGGGAGGAGAGCAGAGTAATGAAGCCAATTCATAGATGGGATTATTAGGAGGCCATGATTGGTGAGGGCCAACTGGAAATTTGGCCAGGATGCCAGGGTTACACCCCTACTCTTTTCGAGTAGCCTGGAAACAGCCTGGGATTTTTAATGACCAGAGAGTCAGGACATCGGTTTTAAGTCTCATCCAAGCGATGGTGCCTGTTTACAGTATAGTATCCCCATCGCTATACTGGGGTATTAAGACCCACAGACTGCAGGGTGAGCGCCCCCTGCTGGCCCCACTAACACCTCTTCCAGCAGCAACCTTAGTTTTTCCTAGGAGGTCTCTCATCCAGGTACTGACCAGGCTCACACCTGCTTAGCTTCAGTGGGTTGCCAGTTGTGAGTTGCAGGGTGAAATATTATTATTATTATTTTTTACATCTTGGTTTTATTACTGTTATAAATGCAGCACTGTTGTACAGTAAAAAGTTAATGATCTAAAACCTCAAATTAGATAAATGCATTTGAATGATTATGGCTTAGGTGTGGGATACTTTGTGCTTACCTTTTCATTACTGAAGTGTACACAAAATAGTGTAAATAATGAAATGTTTAATTCATGAAATTATAATCTCCACACATTAACAAAAAATACATTTCAGATTAATACATATCTGTTTTGAAGAGAGGAAGCAATTAAGTACATGCTTCAATTACTAAGCATTGGAAAATAGTTTTTAATAAGACTGATATTTCTAGAATGCATTTGCACCCACTGCATGTTTTTCAAATATTCTCAACAATAAAGGCTTTAATATAGTTTTTAAAGGGGTAAGTTCTGCTTTGAAGTTACTTCTATATATATTATTTATCAGCAGGTAATAACACATGGTAGAGATCTAAAAGAAAATTGTGAATATTTCTAAAATTGTTCTTTCTCTAAGGAATAAGAGTAACAGGTTCTTAAAATAATGCACCTCCAATTGCCTGTAATTAATCCTTGTGTAGTATCATGGGTTGTGCACGACATCATAGTAAAAGTAGTTATATGCAGTCCCATCACCAATGTCACCATACTATGGACCATATGGACCAGTGTACTTCACTGTGCATATTAGCAATTGAAATTTTAACTGCTAACTAAAAAGGGCAGGGAACTACAAACAAATAAAGGCATGTTATTTTTAGTCTATCTTCACCAAGTCTCTCTCTACAGGTAAGAGGAGTTTTTTTTTAGGGAAAGCAGGAACACTTTGTAATTATTTGACAAAAGGTTTTTGTACACCTTTCCAAAGCCTTAGGCATTATCAAGCTGTTCCTCTTACTTCTATTTTGCAAAAGGATAATCTACAAAATGTAGTTTTAATTCAGTTTAAGATCCAAAGATTTTTTCACCTGTAAAAAATAAATCAAGTGTAAAACCCAAAATTTGCAAAAATTAAGAATTATTTATTTTTTCTTAAGAGAAAAATGAATTGTTCTTTTCTCAAGTTTTTGTTTTTCTTCAGACAGATTTCCACATTTATGAAAATCTGGTACATTTAACTTTATTCTTAAACTTATTCCAGCATTAACAACAACTCTAGACATTAACATTTATTTTAACCAACAACCTCCAGAAGGCAATGTTCTCTTTCAATCTTTCAACCTCGTTTTTGTGCATTGTACATCAAATTATTTATTCTGTAAATAAACACATATCTGCAGTCCTGTACTTTCTATATATTCTCATTACTACTTATTTTTTTATTTTCTTAAACTTCTCTCAAATGAAGCTACTCAAGAGGAGAAAATAGACTAGATATAACAGGCACCCTTAGATTTACAAGAGATTGTCATTTAATTTCTAAAAAAAAAGTCATTTGTACTATGTGGAAATCATCATATCATCCATCTAAAATTAACCAATTTACTTATTTGTGGGGACTATCTCACTTTCTGTGGCTTCATGGATAGTAATACATGTCTATTAATTTGCACATAATATCAGTTCCATGGTAATTGGAATTGTGCCACCATGCAAAACAGATGGCTTGTGCCTACTACACTAGCAAAGCAGCCAAGACAAGCAAAGAAGTTGGAAACCACTGCAAAAACAGCTTTAGGTGACTCCCCACCCACATTAAATTGTTTTAAATGCTTGAAAATAAAAATACTTACATATAATGAAATAGTCATGATTTCTTAAAAATTCCAGGCCCCACAGGTTTGGGCTAAATTCTTGAAATTTGAGAGTAAACTTAACATCTTGATCAGGCTTGACGCAGTTCAGTAGAGGTGTGTCTGCTTTGGTGATGGAACAGCTTTCCACTTGCTCTCTTGGAACCATGTACAATTTATAATACTCCACTTGCTCCCCAGAACCAGAATCCACCCTTGGGCAAACAATGTCCATCTTGTCTCCTATTTGTGGATATAAAACCAATCCTTGTCCAGGAATGAATCTAGGAGGAAGAGAGAAAAAAGGGTTATAACAGGAACAGGTGAAAAGGGAGTCTTCATTTACTTAATCTTCATTTTCAAATACTTAAAGGAATGCCCTCAAAATGTTTGTTATAATTATTTACCTGTTTATATACAGTAATAATAATAATAATAATAAAAAACTTTATTTTATATAGCGCCTTTAAAGGTGGCTTCTCAAAGCGCTTTACAGGATGACAATAACAATAAATAAGAAGACTACAACAATAAATAAGAAGACTACAACAATAAATAAGAAGATTTCACAAGATAGGACACAATTACAATTACAACAATAACAATAGAGGAGACAATGGAAGGTGGTACTAAGAAGAGCAGAGGGGTGAAGAATGGAACCAGTTAATTAAAGGCTTTTCTGAAGAAGAAGGTTTTGAGTCTGGATTTGAAGGAGTTTAGAGAAGGTGACTCTCTGATATCCTTGGGCAAAGAGTTCCAGAGCTTGGGGGCATAGCAGGAGAAGGCCCTGTCGCCGATACAATGTAGATGGGCTTGGGGGACAGTAAGGAGGGCAGAATTTGAAGAGCGGAGGTTGCGAGGTGGGGAGTAGGGCGATAAAAGTTCAGACAGGTATTGAGGTGCCAAGCCATGTAAAGCCTTATAGGTGATTACAACCAAGTACAACCAAGAACGAATAAAGCAACTTAAACCTAAAAATAAATGTAAAAAGTTGCCTTATAGGATATCAAAACCAGAGGTCTAACAGAAACAAAGGATATGACATTATACTAGTAAAGCAACAGAAGAAAAAGTACAAGATATATTATGGCAATAACACATCCATTGGTAAATTCTCATGTTTACTTGAAACAATACCTTAATTTCCAGCTACTTTTACAAGCTCTGCTACATCTGAACAAAAATGGGGTATGAAGAATCACAGATGAAAAATAGATACAGAAATAAAAAACTGCAATGCCAGAGGAATTCACAAGAAGAGTAAAATTACAGATTTTTTTTTTAAGAGTTTGATTCACCCGTCAACAGGTGTGAATGGCATTTCAGAACTTAGTGGGTTCAGGAATTTGCTTGGCTTGGGGATGATAAAGTTAAACAAATGATGTATTGTGACACTTGTTCTAAAGCCGGTCAGGAAGTTGAAGGGAAAACTGAGTTTTTCAAAGGGACAAATCATTAAAAAAAAGAAACGGTAAAAAAACATGCAGAGAGTCAGAAGCATACTGATTGAAGCTCGTGATTGTGTAATTGCAAAGTGTACCCCAAGGCAGACGCCTTTAGCCCGGGCTGTGTCTCGCGGCTATGAAAAGAAAGGCTTTAAAAGAAAATGAAATTTAATACAGCCTACATGATCGTACGTAAGCAATTAACATTCACAAAATACGACACCTAAATCTTGCTAATGAGAAAGAACAGAATGGATGTATCAAAGATGTGTGATAATGATACTGCATTTGCTGAGTTTATTGGGTGCATTGCAGATAAACTATTTTGATTTTGATTTGGCGACTAAAAAAGTCATTTGGCTCCTAAATGTTTCATTTTAGGATCCAGTGGCTCCCAAGTAATTATTTTAGTCTGGAGCCCTGCTTAAACCTTACCACCCATGGGATATCTTCCACTATCTGCTTTAATTAAATGAAAATATCTTAACTAAAAGTTTATCCAAATGATTTGGTTGCGGTTTCAGATTGGGTATCGTTACAGCTTTAGGTGACTGAGAAGTGTCTCTTAGGTTTTAAAGTTTGTCACACTCTGAAGAGTAAAAACTTCTTACTTCAAAGCAGAGAGAATGTTTGCTAAGGTCTGGGGGAGTTCCCTGAGCAAAAATCATTGTAAAGTTTACCTTAGTGTACCTAGTTATGTTGTGGATTAATGATTGGCAAAGAGCAGTACAGACACACACAATAGAAGATCATATGAAGGGAGAAAAAGAAGGGGAAGAAACCAGAAGCAAGGAAGGAGAAGAGAGAGGAGTCCAGAGAGTTGGGACTTAAAGCGTGTGCCAGGTTTCATGATCATCCATACCAAACCTGACTGAAGCTAAGTATTTGAACCTTGTTAGAGAGCATGCTATTCTGTGTTTTTAGGGAACTTGGGTTCCTGGGTAAAAGATTCCACAGTTAGAAATTTCTTTCCTGCTTAGGGTGCATTTTATGGATAGGGATATAGGCTCCCATTGATTTTGTGGCATCCGGGGTGCAGAGAGAGAGATTTAACTGTAGGTTGCATTGTATTTAGTTAGAAGGCAGCTCATCTCTTATGTTGCCTCTGTAGGCATTAAGAGTTTAATGCTAAGTAGCAGTCTGGGGTTTTCTGGGTGACCAGAATGTTAGGCCTCTGAAATGCCTTGTTTGTAAATACTGTTTATAATGTACATAAAGTAACTTGTGTATGACCAAGTGTGCATAGATTATTTATCCTCTCAACAAAACTGTGCCATAGCACAAAGAATTCACGTGCCTCCAATTACACCAACTGCTCAGTTATATTGCTAGAAATCACTTACAAGTTGGGGGTTATGAATAATTATTTCACTTATGGACTAAACCGCTTGGTCAAATCCTGATTTTCACCAGTTTTGTTACCCCCCATTTGTAACACTATCCTCGCACACTGTTTGTGGTAATGCTTAACTTCTAATATGTGTTTGTCTGGGACACAAAATGGAAACTCTTCATTTTCATCTTCAGACTTCCACTGTACTGTAACAAAAGGCTAAATATAAAAATTTTCCACAGCATATTTTCATGATAGCTTGTGCTATAAAAATACATCATACTCCCTAAAGCTTTTTCATTGTATAAATCATGGAGAGGTAATCCCTTCACTAGAATATTATATTTAATACATGGGCTACATACGTCTTCTTTCTTCATGGAGGACTATTGGGGAAGTGCCAAATATGACCTATGACATTAAACAACTATAAAACTATCTATACATATCTTGTCTATGAGGCACACAGATTACACAAAAAAAAATATTTTGAAGCTGGGCACTTTATTTTATGTGGGTAGCTTTGTCAGCATGCATAGGCTGCAAAGGAACAAGTAATATATTTATTCCATGCTGAAAAGAGAAGAAAGAAAACACTTCGACTGTGGAGCCTTCTTCAGGTGCCAAACAAGGTATTTCCTGTTTTTTTAAATGTTCATATAAGCTCACTGTCATCTGTTACAGCAATCAGGTTTTTGCAAATCAAAGTAAATGACTACTACTATGTTTAGTGACAATAAAAGAGCCAGATTAAGTTATGATAGGGAAACTATCTGAAGAAAATGTCTTGCTTCAAGAAATTCCACTTAGAAATAAAAGCATAATTTCTAGTTTTGACCTTATCAATAATGTATTTGTGCAGTAGAGCTCAGACATAATTCAGCAATCACTTGCATCTGAGATGAGAGGCATTTAGAAAAAGGTGGAGTAACTAGTACTAAAGCTTTACTTCTACCCACCACAACACACATGGGCATAGATATATGGATTACATCTGTTACAACTAAATAATGTAATGTCAAAATAGTATAATTCCCCACCAAAAAACTAACGTTGGGCAAGTAGTTTACTTTTCTAACCTGTCTCTCTATGTACCATTCTTCAGTACAAGCAGGACTTTTTTTTTCTTAAACCACTGCAATAGTCTCAGTTTACATCCTTTATTAACATTATACAAAATTAACTGCTGACAGGGGGTTGTGGCAAGTAAAATACACACAGAAGGATAAGAAATCCTCTGAAGTTCTCAGGTCTAGTGGTAATGACTTAAACAGATGGCAATATCAAGTGCTGCCACATAACATCTTAAGAACCACACATAAGGTTTCCACTGCTGGAAATCTTAACATTAGTACTCAAAAGTGTCATAGCTCCCCTTGCTTCATCTTTCAAATCTGCAAAAGGCAAGGAGAACAGAAAGGGTTTATACTTAAATAACCTATCAGGCCAACAGCCAGATTTATGGCTCCTAGTAAAAAAGTTTTAATCCACCCTTTGTATAACAGGAATAACCCATTATATTAATTGCCTGAAAAATTCCTGATAGTCAAGCATGTTTTTTGACTTTCATGATATTTATCTATTTTTAAAAATTGAGATGAACATATGCATGTACAATACATATGTATACATAGTATATTAGAACAGCTTGATTCTACAGTTTTTATGTCTCAGAAAAACAGCAGCAACGATGAACCTTTAACCTTTAAAACACTTCAGAATGAAATGTGCACAGGTATACATGGTGAGGTATAAAATATGTTTTTAAAAATAAAATGCCTCCTTGATCTGCCAAAAAATAGGTATAAAGTTCACAACAATGAGAAAAAAGTAGACAAGTAAACTGTCAAAAAGATACAAACCTTTGATGCCTAACGTGGACAAATTAGAAAATGTTCATTAAGGACAGTGTTTAGAACAGCAGTGGTCTGATCTGTGACTAAGGCTTATGTAAAAAAGCATTTAAAAACATTTAAATAACAAATGCATTATTTTGTCTCCAACTTAGAGAAGTCCTTTTACATTCAAGAAATAGTTAGCTTATGTGTAAAAATATCAATGGATAAATCTACATTACCACAGATTTGTAGCTTTCAGTACTGTTTCGGCACTGAATATAAATATTATTTTGCTGACAGTGTACCCATTGAAGCAAATGCAAGGTGATGTTTCCAGAACTGGCAGAACAATCATTAATTCCTTTCCCTAAACTTAAAAAACTTTAAAAAAATAAACATGACAGGTACAATAAGAAGCTACTTATTTGATAAGCAGGGGCAAACAAAGCCTGTTTATCTTTTCAGGTCTTTAATCACGTTAACTCTGGTTTAAACAAAATGTGGAGGGCTACACTAATTCAGACCCCCCTTTTTCATGTCCCCACCATAAATATGCAGCAGTCTGCATCTGAAAGGCTGATGGCTGATGAAGGCGCAGGGCTTGCTGGACATTTATCTCGCTCTGTTTCTTGTTAACAAGAAAATACCTGCTTGAATGGGCCATTACC